TCGAAAGTGTGGATCATCGGACCTGAGAAGCTTGACAGTAACCAGCTCGCGCTCAACAACCGGGTTTGACTCAATGCCAAACCACCAAGAGAAAAAGTGGGTCTGCCAGGCCTGCCGTTTTATATCAAAAGATATTTGTCATTACCATGACAGCGTGGACAACATCATGTCCGTCAAATCCCGAAACAAGGTTTGCTTCAGCAAAGCTGGCTTGAGTTCCTGGCGTTTGGCCCGTTAGAAAAGCTATACCAGCTAAAACTCGTGGAGGCAGCGATGAAACGAATTTAGTGGCGAACGTGCAAGGCCAAACTGCTTCTGCTACTGCTATTGTGAGGATGAGCGCAGTGCTAGAGTTGAAGGTAGCTATATAGCTTGCTGACTTCCTTCAAATTGGCCTCACGCACGCCCGAAAGCGATTTGGAGCCTTGAGCCAGAGCATGCGACGTGGGGGTGTCAAGTAAGCCTGGAAGCACATTCGCAACCAGAAGGAGACGGTCAGTCCATCAAACTTCTCAGTAATAGAAGTAGGAAGCGACGAGCTACCACGCAGGCGCCACCCAGTGCACTTTCAAGGTGAAATAAGTTTTGAGCTGAGCAAAGGAAGCTGAATGTCATGACAGAATGTGTGAACGTCAACTTAGCAGGCAGTAACACCTGAAAGAGACTCCAAACCCTGCACGCAAAATGTTTGTGGAAGATGTCTTGACACTGCCGTTTGACTGGACTCAGCATGCTTAAGTAATTCCCGCCTCGATAAAATTGTAAATCGCACGCAGCTGTTCAAGGCTCGCCTCAAGCGAAATCTTGATGGTCTTGTGACTAGGCTGAGTTGCAGAGTCCTGTCTTCTTGCTTCTTACTTACTTTCGGCATGGAAAACTACAAAAGATTAAAAAGTAGTAATCCGCCGACCCCACACCGTGGGGTGAGGCGTGACTGTCGATGTTAGCCTTAGCCTTAAGCCTTAGCCTTAGCCTTAATCCTTAGCCTTAGCCTTAGACTTAAGCCTTAGCCTTAGCCTTAGGCTTAGACCGTAGCCTTAGCCTTAGACCTTACCTCCCCTACCCCTCCGGACCTTTGTTGCAGTGACGAAATCCCGACCTAAAAGCGACGTGATAGCTACGGGATTTGACGGGATTGCGACCTGAAAGCGACCTGAAAGCGACCTGAAAGCGACCTGATTGCGACCTGATGGCGACCTGGATTGTCCAAGATTCTGCCATCCCAATTGATTTACATCTTGGGGCACCCTCTCCACCCGCGCGGGAAAATAAGCACGGTCCAAAATGGTCCTGGGCTCGAATCCCGGGCTGGTCGCGGCGTGGTCCCGGCCAATGCCCTTGCTTTTTTGTAGATTTTGTCACGTTTTCTGTTGGTTTACGAGATTTTCAAAGGCTTTTCTAGCATTTTCCTAGGAATGCTCTAGGCTTTGTCTAGATTTTGTTATGTTTTCGGCTGGACGCTTTTCCAAGAATTTTCTAGCGCTTCCTCTTGTTTTTAGGTTCCCAGATTTT